ATCCAGGTTCACCTGTGATTTCTTTGCCCTCCCCCTCGGGCTCCGGCTAAGTTTTGTTGTCGGACCCCCGCCGACTGGAAGCTGGGCACCCGGAGGACGCGATTAGGCAGCCGCGCTCACTGGGTTCGTTACGGTTGCGGCTGAGGCGCAGCTGCAAGGTACAGCTTTCACTGTGCTGGCGGCAGGCTCCGACCATCCCATCCCGTCTGCTGCCATTATAGCGTATAGCCAGAAATAACACACGTTGTCCAAGTTCACAGTAGCAAGGAATCCAAGGACATGAAAGCAGAAGGGAAGCACAGAAGGAAGAGACATTGAAAGGGAGGCTAGATGTGGATCAAAAATCAACCCAATCACCGAAGGCTGTGAGTACCAGGTTAAAACAGGTGAATGAAGAGATCTGAGAAATCAACACTGATGCAAAAAACATCCAGCCCGCATTGAGCTGTCCTTCAAACCCCCTAAAATTCATGCTACTGTTATTTATTAAAGCTTCTGGCTGACAGATACTCCCAATGGATACATGGAGAAGAAAGATCAAGAAAAGGAGTAATTTGTGGCTGAAGTTCAGCGTTGTCAGAATGCCTTTTGCTGCCAGCAGCTAACGAGTACAGGGTAAGGGGCTAAGATGCAACTATTCGGTACGGCTTTGCCTTGCCAGAATGGAGAGTGTGCACCAAATACATTGGATGAACTGTTTTTAATAGGTCCGTTTCTTCCTACTGTGTGGAGTGGTGAGTGACTCATGGAGCAGACTGATTAGTGTATGACTGGGTTTTTCAACTGTGAAACACCATCAGCTGTGAAGATGCTCAGAGGTTTTGTATGGATTTATTAAATCAGGAGACAGGGATACTTGGTATCTGGAGATGATCTGGGGTACTTAAAAATACAGAAAAAGCTACAGAAATTTTTCCCTTCACAGTTGGAGATTATTTTTTTAAATAGAAAAGTTTAAACAGAACAAGCATTCTTATTTCAGTCCCAAGGTGTTTTATATCTTAGAAATCTCTTCATCCCCTGGCCACACCAGTATTTTGTAACTCTAAAGTAAACAACAACATTATTTCAACAGTAACGATGGGAAAGTATATCCCCGATTGCATACCATGTAGTCATGGATGTAACATACTGCACCCGTGAAGTACCATGGGTTGGGATAAAAATTAGAATCCTTTTTGCAATGTAGCCTTGCATCTATTTCTTACCTCAGCCTTAAAGGAAATCAAGTCATCTCATCTCCACAGAACATAACAAGTGGGACTTAACTGGGGCAAGACATCCTTTTCTCAAGCTATAATCGGCAAGTTCCTCGGGTGTCTGGCTGGAAGTCCTCTCATACAGGCACAGAGCTCCTCGGTTTCAGCTTGGTTTTGTGTCTGTCCTGATGATACGGTGTGAACGGCTATACTGAAATGGAAAACAAGGCAACCTCACCTGAACGGTTTCCACGCCTTCCTTTTATTGGAGTTACCTCTTCTGCCACATGATGTTTCTTAGGCTCTTTCGGCAATGTGGGATGATCTGAAACACCCGAGACTGTCAGCCCTCAGTCTGCTTCTTGCCAACGGGTTGCTGGTCTATGTTTGCAGGTTTCTTTCCAGATGCCCGTATTTTGAAATACTAGGCCTCAAAACGATCACATCATTTAGGAAGGAAGTTCCCGACAGTCTGAAATGGGGTAAGCTTCTGGCATCTTCTCGCAGAAGCCACCCCTGTGGCCCCCCGCTACCAAAACCTTGCTGTGCAAACCCAACACACCGTTTCAGGTGGCGAGACTGTGGAGGATGTGGTAGCAAGCGTATTACTGCACCCGCAGTAACAGACAGAAACAGAACAATGCCCTTCCCATTTGGGAACCTTTCCTGAATTCACTTGTCATCAAACATCCTTAAAGATATATCCAAGAACGACATTTTAAATGAAATGTAAACAAGCAGGTTAGCAAGAAACAGAACGGAAACCCCCCAAAAAGGTTATAACTACCATCAAACTTCTTTCCTGGGTCTTAAACCTAATAAATGATGCTGCCTCACGGGACAGGAAGGCTGGAAACGCAATTTGTGCTTCTTCCAGCTTCTGTCCCCAGCTGTTTAGAAAGTTAATGCATTAAACGACATTTGCCCTGCTAGTTTGATGGGACAGAAATTGCCCCTTCTCCCGTTTTTATTCTTAACTTTTAATGCATTCCACACAGACAAATGTATTCGATACAAGGGTTGTAAACAGGCCAATCCCAATTTTTATACGTACGTGGCATATAGCTTACATTACCATTCTATTTTTAAATAAACAAACACTCCTTCTCACTTACAGTCAACAAGGAGTCTTAAGACTTTTACAACATGTCATAGCTGATATAAGTATCCTTTATTGTATATACATCTTAGTAACAGTGCAATCTCTCCTTTTAATATTGCAGAGACACCATACCCGACCATTAATGACAAGTCTGGTTAAACTGCAATTTCCCTCATTTTTTGAGAATGTCAGGCATTTGCTGCAGCACAGCAGCAGATGTGGAATTCTCCCATTTGTATCCTCTCACTTTCCTCGCTGCCTGCAAGTCCCAACGATGCTTTAACTGAATTCTAAAGCTATTCCTGTGTATTTAAAAATGAAGTGTAGTAAAACATGAAAATGGTTCAGTGACATTTTGCCTGCCAGTAGTTTTCTTCTTTAGCTCAGAAAGTTAGCGAGACATCACCTCTTCATACCAGTTTCCTGCTGGCTTAGGTTCTCAGACCTCATGACAGAAAATTGTCTCATTTCTCCGATCCTTCTGTTTTCCTGAAGCAAAATGACATCATTCACAGCATGTGAATGACATTTTTAAAAAAGAAAACAGCGATAATTACCTTTTTATTCCTAACAATGGAAAAGGTAACTATAAATTCATGAAGTAGCTACAGGAAAACAATTATTATTAATGGCAAGAAGTCCACGTGAAGGCTTCTGAGTAATTATGAAGAGAGAAACAATCCAAAAGGAATTGAAAAAAATATGGTTTGTGGGAGGAGGGGAAAAAAAAAAAAGTGGCTGAAATGGAAAAATGCAAGTAAACAGAAAATATAAAAAGGAAGAAAAACTAGGAGACCTGGAAAAGACCCCAAAATGGCACGGCACAGAAAGTTAAAAGTGAGCAAGAGGAATGACGTGGCCAAAAACCAGATCAATGAAGTTTGCCAAAAGCATCATTTTGTGGAGCAGAAAGTTATTGTTTCCCCTCTTCAGGGGTCTGGTTACTACTTCAGAATATGGTTTCAGTTTTGGATTGCGAGTATTTTTGTATTGGATTTGGCTCCGCTGATCAGAACAGATGCCATCAACTTCATAAAATAATTATTAAGACATGCCTTAAATACCCAAACATATGCATGTTTCACAAATGACGGTGCAGGATTGAATGGTGAAAGGTTTTCAAGGATTTTCAAGGACATATATTTGTCTTTGGTACTTTCAAACATCTCATATCTGATTTTTTTTTTTTTTTTAAGGTTGAGCCAGCATTAAAAGAAGTCCATAAATAATAAAAACTTCACACACTGAATACACAAAGTAATGCAAATATTTAGACACTATTCTGAAAGTTTAAGCTTCAGAGAACTGAACTTGCAGTTTAAATTAATCTTCAAACATTGTACTTATACACTAGACAGTATCTTACAATCAAATACAACCTTTAGTTAAAATATTTGTAGTTTAAATGGATTTAACAACAAAACTTGAAGCTTGTTAGTTACAAAGTGATAGACAAACTTAAGTTCATGTGGTGTGTATTACATATCTCAATTTATACAGCTTTTTAATCACATTCTTGCAGAATCTTATAAGATAAGGAATTTAAGAGTCTGCTCTAACTCTGTGCATTTTTTGACATTGATTAGTTAAAATTAAGGAATCCTTTGGATGAATTCCATAGAAATGGTGTTTCCACCAGAAAACAGAGAAATCTGGAATTACTTTCAGCATTCATTAAAACCTATTGCAGTGAGCAACCAGCAAAAATGCACACTGGCAGCTAAATTAGAAAAGGAATATAAACCCCAGTATTTATATCTGTTAACAAAAATAACTTGGTTTTTAAAATGTACAGATAACTTACTAGAAAATCACTTTTTGAAAAGTACAAGCAAATGAAAACAGGCTTAGAATAACACCTTTTCTAGCCTTTTTACTAGAGATTTTTTATAGATCTGATTTATTCAGTTTATAATATTGCTTTATAATATTGTAATATTAAGTTTATAAGACCTTGCTATTTGTCTTCTGCCACTGATGATAAAGCTGGGTATTTTATAACAGAGGTAACATTCATTTCTTCGCAGTCATTCCATTTTATTAACTCAGTACCTATCAGGTTATTTTTAAAATTCCCATAAAGTAGAATATGAAAAACATTAGTTAACCGACTGTAACATTGCTTTAAAATCATGTTACCACTTAAAAAAAAAAAAAAAAGAAAGAAGAATTAGTTTTTATTCCACATATCGTCTGAGCTCATCATTATATTTTTTCATGCAGCAACTGTGCAGATTAAAAATATTCTTGAGCAATCTTGCAGAACTTATAAATTGTTTCTCCATCTGAAGCTGGGAGACCCCTCATGTACTGTTAAGAAAAAAAGACCAAATTAATCACAAACTAACACTCAGATGCTATATCGAAACATTGGACTATCTCAAACTTAACCTGTACATGCATATCTATGTCTGTACATGCCATTTTTTATTAAAACTATTGGAATAGTTTCCTTTGGGCCAGTGTTGAGTTTTAATGGAAGGTGATAAACATTAACTGTTTCGCTATGTAACCTAGCAATATCAAGAATGATTAATAAAAAAGGATTTAATTAGCCTACAGTTATTTAAAGTTCAGAATATTGAAATTTCTAGATATTAAGAAGTTTGAGGTAGAAGAGCGCTCGTTGCATTTTCTGAAATTTATGAACTTTAGAGAAAAAAAATCTGTGCTGCTAAATTAAGAACAGTCAAATTATTTTTATCTCTTCATCAGCTGTGTCTTAAAAATGTGAAACAATGACCAAGTTATTTAGATCCAAACATGGGAGAAAGCTTATATGCGCATATTGTGGCATGCTCCTGTAGACAAGACATTAACTTTCTGTTTAAAGTGAGAAAAGCAAACCTGTAAAGGCAGTATCACTCCTAAGGGAAGTTATATACCAACATAAACTGCAAGCCCTAGAATGACGTAGTGAATTGATGACTGCAGCAGACAGCATATGGCCGTAATTGGCACAGAGCAGCTCTCTTGTAACGTTGTAATATGGCTGTCACATTCATTACCGATACTGACAACATGTTTCTTCGGAAAAATACTTTGTGAAAATTAAGCAGACAGTGTTATGACTGCAACTCAAGTCTTCCATAATGAGAACAAAACTTGAAATACTGCAACTCAGACTATGTGGAAAGGACATCATATCAAAACCAAACGAACAAGTAACATGAGTATGCAAACATTTGTATGCTACATGCTCAGAAGCAACAGAATCAATCTGCCTTAACAGATGTCCTTAATTTGAACTGAAAAACTGACAAAGGTCACATGATGTTAAGTGTTCATCATGGATCTGGGTCTAAGCT